GGGGGGGGGGGGGGGGGGGGGGGGGGGGGGGGGGGGGGGGGGGGGGGGGGGGGGGGTCAGTGAGGCCGGCGGCAGGGGTGAACGCACCTGGCCTTGTTCTCGTCTGTCGGCCACCGTTTCCTCCTCTCAGCCCTCCACTCGGCCACCTCGTCGGGGCTAGTTCCCAGCAGCACTCGGAACTTCTTCCCCTCTACGTCAATCATCTGTGCAGTTTGTTTGAAGGAAGCCGCAATGCACATGTAATTAATCATCACGCGTGTGTCAAAGGCGGGGGTATACCGAGTGACAGACGAGGGTTCCTCGTGATAGTCGGATGATTCGAACGACGGCGGGAACTCAATGTATCAAAAGTCACTACAGAATCGGGAATTGTTTGCTTCGAGCAAGCCAAATTACGATTGTTAGACATCCGAATCTTACTGGAGAAATTAAGGGTACAGACAAACATACGTACCAGCCAGCCGAGAGAGGGGCTAGAAACCGTGGAGGCTCGCCTACCTCTCAGAAGCAGCCGGAATCATTCGAGGCTCGAATTTGGGGTATAAGCTACAGTACATAGACAGCCAAAATGAGGGATTCTTAGATTCCAAGAAACCACATCCTACGGCGGTTACGAGGCTAAATAGCAAGTCTTGGCGCTACACACGCCAGTTGTTTGATCCCCCTGCACCATCCATGCAATACAACCACAAGTTCTTTGGGAGCGGGCAGGGACTACTGCAAGGCTGTGGGAGCAGAGCACCTGAAAGCCGGAGCCGCTGAGCTGGCCGTGCTTGGCCTCGTGGTGGTTGTTGACGATCTTCCTAAGCGCCGAGAAGCCGCAGCCCTTCTCTGGGCACGGCACGTGGGACTGCAGATGGGCCTGCCGGGCTGTCTCCGTGGTAAACTCCTTCTCACACGGTTCGCAAGACAGCTTCGCCGCCCCCCCCACAGCTGCGCCCGCGGTACTGGCTGCCGCCAAAGAGGGTTGCTGCGCGCCTGGCTTGCCGCTAGCGACGCTCCTCGCCCCTGCGGCTCCCGCCGTTGGTGTTGCGCGGGCGTGATTTGAGATGGTCCCCACTGTCTTAAACTGCTGCTGCTGCTGCTGCTGCTGCTGCTGCTGCTGCTGCTGCTGCGGCCCCCCCGCGGCCGCACGGGTCGGCGTTTGAACGAAGTTACCGCCGTTGGTTCGGTTGACCATGTTGGCCCTCCCTCCTTGCTGCTGCTGCTGCTGCTGCTGCTGTTGACGCCAAGGGTTGTTGTTGCTTAGCCCTGCACGGAAGCCGTGCTGGGCCTCAGCTGCTCCCATCACCTGTCCTTGTAGTGCGGCCCCCGAGGCAGGGCCATTCCTGACACCCGGCCCGGGGAAGTTGGCACGTTGCTGTACACCGGCCCACGGCGCCCCTGGGCCTCCTGCCCGAGGACTGCCGCCGTGAGCAGGGGGCGGTGCCTGGTGGGGCTGTGGTGCCCAAGGCTTTGATTGGGAGGCGTAGTTTCCCGGAGGGGGGTGCTGCAGCAGCTGCTGCTGCTGCTGCTGCTGCTGCTGCTGCTGCTGTTGCTGCAGGTGTAGAGGACTGGTGATCTGCGGTTGTGGAGGGCCGTTGCCTGGGCCGTTCCACTGCTGTTGACGTCGTTGCGGCCCGATATCAGGAGCATGGGGTCCTGGGCCTCCCATTCCCCATGGGGCACGCTGCTGCTGCGGCATCAGCTGCTGCTGTTGCAGCGGCATCTGCTGTTGCCGTTGCTGAGGAGACGGGCCCGGCCAGTTGGATGAATTTGGAGGCGGCGAGTGGAAGATGTGAGCACTCTGCCCTTGGCTCTGCGCGCGCTGGTGCATGGCCAGCTCGTAGGCCAACATCTGCGGATTTTGGACGTTCATAGTCGTACCTCTCTTGCTGTCAAAGCGCCGATTGTCCCTGCCATACGGCGCGCTTTCGCAACCACCTGCCACACGCCACACGCACGCCCACCGAGCCGTACACATCGTGCTTGGCAGTCCCTGTTCGCGACTGGCTTCATTTTCGCCATGAAACCTCGAAACACGGAGCCCCCTTTCTCCCGCCGAGAGACCCAGGGAGAGCTGGTTGTAGGTTTCCGAGACAGAGAGAGAGGTCACCACCCACACATAGCCTAACAGCGAAGTCTGGCGGAGAGGTACCATGTGGGTCATCGAGCCGATCAAGCAGGTGAGTCGATCGGCTAAGTTCCTCTGTTTCTTTGGAGCGCCAACAACAGGAGTCATGCTCGGCTGGTGCTGTGAATAACTGCCCGCCCCCCGACACGCAATCAGCAGCCACACGGTGGTAAGATGGCCGCCGCAAGCCGCACACCATCCGTCCTTCGCCACCTGACAGCTATTGCAGCGAGTATGTGTGAGGGAAACTTTGGCTTGGGGTGAAGAATGATTGAATACCCCACGTCTGTCTCGAGTTCTTTGTCCTGATTTTCACGAAAGTTGTGCGGACACGAGAGAGTCATACGCAGGATACCACCCTACCTCTTGGATCTCCGTTACAAGTCACATGCGCCACAATTACATAGCTAGCCGCCACGAGTGCGTGGGTGAAACCCAACCACATTTAGAAATTGCTTGTCTCTTGGCCAGGCCTTTCCAAAGGTGCAGCGTTCGACATCTTCTCTCTTCCCCTCTTGTTGAGGTCGAAATTACGATGCAGAGTGGTAGGCTGTAGTTTTGTCGTCCCGTGGACTCTGAACGCCGATAGCGCAGACGTGACTCCTGTGTGTCGGCCTTGTTCTGTGTCGTTGTGCATGCTGCAGACGGAGCTGGCTCCGCGCGTTATGAGTGCGGAGCACTGCTGTGTTGTGTCGCTAGAATGTTGCCCGCGCTGTTCTTTGGGAGTCTCGGAAAGGCGTCTTCGGACTAGTTGCAAAGGCTGTTTGATTGTCGCGTGATAAGTCATGGGACCACGAGAGCGACTAAGCGTTTCCGGACCAGAGTCTTGCGGAGACTGATAAACTAGAGCAATAGGCTTATCGCACAACGCCCAGACGTAGTATCATCCCATCAACCAGCAACAGAAACTTTTGTAGAGGTACAGGGCGGACCGTGCCGGCCCTTTGCATGTAGCAGCGGTTAACTTGGGCGTGTTTTTCTCTCACCGCCACGGAGGCATTGGGGTGACTACGTTGCGCACCATCTGCTGGCTGGCGTGCTGCATGCGCTTGGTCTCCGTTGAGCTCATCCATCTCCAAGTACGCATTGTCACTCCTTGATCCTGGTGCTCTGCCTTCTCGCCATCGCCGCAAGGCACTTGGCACGCAGGATATCGGCCAATTGCAAGACGTTGACAAATGAAGCAGAGTTTGGGCACTGTAAACGAGAGCGTAGAAAGGCAAACGAAATAGACGGATGACTCGCGTCGTCAACCTTTGCCCTCCTTCCTTTCAACTGTTTCCAGTCAAGCCATGAAGGGAAAAAGAGGTGGAATTCCGAAAGGTGTTGATGAATATGCCGGCCTATTATAGTGTTCTATGGAACGGCCGGTAGGCCCGACTTGCGCGAATTTAAGTTAGTGAGGAAATCGAACAGGGAGAGGGTACACAGACCTCTCATTCCGAACCCTAACCGGTCGTACCCCAACGTTCCCGATTGCGTGTTGTATCCAACATGTTTGTCTAATAGAAAGACCCTGCGAAGGCCACTTGGCCGGTAGGCTTTACTTGTAGGCATCTCTACTACACCGAAAATGCCGTCAAGAATCCACCCAACCACGAGGGAAACATTAAACACCCAACCCTCGCTTACCCTGCACCCTCCTTTGTCGGAAAAAAATAACAACGATGTCATGCCCGAACCCAGGCTAACGGTAAGGGGAACGAGTTCCGGAAGGCAGCGACGTCGTCGGGATTGAAGCTCCTGGCGTTCTTCGCCGCTGTGCGAGTCGCTCACTACGCTATGAACCGACCAAGATGACGAGGATGTTTTGTTGCGGTGGTGGTGGGAGGTGCCGCCGACAGTGGAAAACGTTTGTGGGTGACAACATGGCGCGGTACGTCATGGAACTGCGGAAAATCTTCGTTTTCTTGGATGAAGCATTGCGTAACGCCATTCACACATCCCGCACGAAGGCGCCCTTTGTTGGAGGGGCAGGGGGCAGCACTGGGATTGGCTGGTCCGCTCTATCGCGGGTAGGCGGTTGTTGATGGCCGTGAACCTTTTCGATTACCGGAACGCGTAGGGTAGGTTGTGCGACGGCTTCTCGATTCAATTGGCCTGCACCGGTTTTCAAGGGCGACGTGAAGTATTAACAAGCCCGAAATAAATCTGGAGCAGTAGTAGACCTTCCGCCAGCGTCACGATTTTTTCCCCAGTACATTCGGTCATCGTGCGTGTCTCGTTCTTTTTTTCTTGCTCGTTCGCCTTGCCGACAAGGACGTTCTTGACAACAAGTTCTGTGTTGTGTTGGATGTGTGATTCCCCTCCCCCCCTCCATCGGCCCGTTGTATCGGGGGGGACGATAGACTGTTTGGCGGTTGCGGTTGCAATTGCGACCGTGCAATTGGGGGAGGGGAGGGTAGCGTCTTTCATGGGATGACTTCGTCGTCAGACCATGGTACTCTCTTGTCCCCACGAGATCTGCCAGGAATTGTGTTCGTTTGTCGCAAATACGGGGTGAGGGGGGTTGATTGGCAGCGAGGGCGGCAGTGACGTGTATTCAACAGCATGTGTATTTTTCTTCTTTCTTCCAAAGTTAAGTTGCCATTCAAGCACTATCCTTAAAAGCTGTAAGACCGTACTGGAGAATAACATCATCTCAGGAGTGGTTCTCTGCGTGAAGCTGTCGAAGTCGTGAACACTGCTGTCGTCAGGGTAATCTTCCGTTTTATGTGGACCTCGTTTGCGTCGTGCCTGTCAAGTGTTTCCCGGGTCTTTGCGACCAGGACGGATGTGGGACCGTTGAGAATCTTTGATATTATCAACAACCACAGCCAAACACCAAAGATGATGCTGAGGACGTGCCCGGAGCGCTTGGTCTTAAGGCATGCACACTGCATATTCCCGGAGAATGAAGTGTCGACCCTCTACCGCAGTGATTCCTCGCCCTTTACCACCCTTGTGTGCGGGTGACAAATGTAACTGTTACAGCCGTACATGTATGCCTATTTCACCGCGCACGGATCCCGTGCCTACAACGCAGAACAGAACATGTGCTAGACACGATAAGGTGTTTCGGCTACTCCCCCCCAACGCCACACACAGCGACTTACTTCATCTCCGGAAACCAATATCGAAGGCAAGCACGGCAGGAGGGGTGGAGGAGAGGAAACCTTCTGTGTGTCTGACCACGGATTGGAGCTGCTACACGGCAGAAATGCTGCGTGTTGTGTAGCGCTGATTCCAAGTGATGGAAGAAAAAAAATCACGGAGTAACTGCGGCAAGTGAAGGGCACACACACTTTCCTCTAAAACACTTGATGACATGATAGTTTTTCTCCATGTGCGAAGGGTAAAGGGCATTGATGTCCGCAACATTGCCAGCCAAAAAGCGACTAGCAATGCCCCAAACCAAACACAAAACAAGATATAAAGACGGTGCCCGGCAACCCAGAAAAAAAAAAAAATCCTACCGTACACCGCTCCACCTCCATCTCATCCAAAAGCTGTTCCAAACGCCTGCGTGTCAATTCGAGAATGCATGTCATAACATGCAAGCAACTTGCTATGCGGCCGTCGACGGTTCTGGTGCTAGTCCTGCTGACTCCCAATCGAGAACTCGCCTTCTACATCTTCGGTGCAGGCGCCGATAGCGACACCCGAACCACTGTCGTACGTCACACATGCTGCTGCTGCTGCTGCTGCTGCTGCTGCTGCCGGTGTCACCGAGAGGCCGAGAAGTCACTGGTTGTCCACCTCGAGCCTGGCCAAAGGTCGAGGCAAAGGTTAACTGGCCTGTACAATAGGCTGCGGCGCCTCTGCTAGCTGGATCTTGAGGAACAGGGTCTCCGTACCGTCCTCCGTTACCCTGGGAGAGGCGCGCAGCGAGTAGTGGGAGATATGGCAGAGGGACGCCATAGAGAGCAGCAGGCAGTAAGAGCCAGATAAATACACACGGTTGTCGTCAGTACCGTGTTTTTGGGCGGACACAGCCGGGGCGGTTTTGCAATACGGCGGTACTTTTTCGGCGGTGCTGCCTTCGGCGGTCCCGGTATTGATTACCGCCAGTACCAGGACCACCCACCAAGACGGGACCAAAACGTCCGGAAACTTCCCAACGAGCCATGGACGAGAACCAACAAGACGAGCATAGCAACATGACAATGAAAACGTTGAACAACAACAAATTCGTCACCTTTCCGCGGTGATCGCAACCTCGTCGCCAGGCTTGCGTGATTCTAGGACCTTGAACAGGTCGACCTCTGTGTTGATTTCCTGCTTGTCGATGGCCACGATGATGTCTCCGAGCTGGAACAGGAACACAAAAAATGCCGTCGTTTTCCAAGTTTAAACACAAAAGAGGGGAGGGGGGAGGAGCGGAAAAATTAGTTGAGTGGGGTGGAGCAACATAAAACGTCTCCGTGTGGAGGCAATGGATGGCAGACTAATGTTTCCGGGGTTCAATCAGAGCGGAGGGTGTGGTTCGCGCGATTTGATGCGATGGTGGTCGTACCACAGTTCTACGATTGAAACTTGAGCGTCCGACGAGCGCCGAAATCGAAACCGTTTACATTTACTACGGCACGAACGCGGATGCTGAGAACATATTCCGGAATCAGACATGCACGCAAAACACGCCGCCAACGAACACTAAAAAACGCCAACTCATGCATACTGACGGTTCTGTGTATAACTTGATCTGGCAAGACATGAACGCAGGACGAAAACGTACCAATGAACGTTGAAAACACACCAACTCGCTCATACTGGCGGTGCTGCTAAACTTGTTCACGTGACGTCCGTTGGACCAGTCCGGCTATTAGAAAGTACTGACCCGGAGACCGGAACCGTTGCGAGTGTCAAGCCAACAACAACAACAACAACAACAACAACAACAACAACAACAACAACAACAACAACAACGCGGCCGATGCGAAACGGAGCGCTAGCCCCTTCACCTGGGTGCGCGTTGTCGGCCTCAAGCCAGATTTGGCAGCGCTCGTGCCCTCCTTCACGTCCAGGACCAGAACCCCCTTCTTTATACCGACCGTGTTGGCCCTCGCGCTCTCCAAGAACGTGATGCCGATAATCGGGCGGCTCACCCTCCCCTTCTGGATGATGGTGCCCACTACCGTCCTGCAAGCGACGATGCAGGACGACACAAGAGGCCATGACAAAAATGGCAGCAATTATATCGGAAACGGCGAGAGCGATCAAGGTCCCGCACACGTTACAACGTGAAATATAGGGACCCGCACGCGTTCAAATCTAGTTGCTTCTTTCTCCGGCTCCTCGATAGTATCGCCAACGAACCCTCCATACAGCGGTACGGAGGCAAATGGCATATCGTCAAACATTCCACATACGTCAGCCGTATTCGTCTTTCCTTTCTCTCTCTCTCTCCCTCTCTCTCTCTTTCTCGGTGTGCCTGTCTCTGTCTCTGTGTCTGTCTCGCTCTCGCTCAGTCTCTGTCTCTCTCTCTTTCTCTCCCTACCCCCCCACTCTACCCCCCTCCCGGTGTTTGCCATCGGGGTTGGGTTTTCGTCGCTTGGCAACGACGTTGTAAAACAAGCCCCTCCCTCGATGTTTGCCACCGGGATTGGGTTTTTGTCGCTTGGCAACCACGTTGTAAAACAAACCAATTCACTTCGTGAACTCGGCAACCAGGTTACCGTTTTTTTAATTTTGCCTCTGTTTTTTTTTGGCGGTAACCATAATGGTGGTCGAGTAGATCATGTTGTGCGGGGTGGAGA